TAGCTATGTTGATAGTATACATGAGAGGGATACAAGGGTTACTCCTGCAAGAACAAAGTGTTCTTATTAACTGAGGATTCCTTCCCGCATATCCACAAGGCGCTGTACTTTTAGGAGAAGGTGGTTGAACGATTTTTGTGTGAGGCCCCTCATTCCTGGTTCTCAGAATCCTGCAAAAGGGAACAAGAACTCTCAGAACAAAAAGATTCAAAAGGTAAAACCAAAAGCTTCCTTATCATTAACTTTGTTAAATAGATAAAATAAAAGTTCCTATGGACTTAATAGATTAGCCAGTAGAGAGGCTAAAATCTCAGAATGAACTCTCTGAGGGTTTTGGTCCAGGAAAATTTAAGAACCATGACAAAGTAACCAAGGCATTTATTTTATTAAAGTCCTAATATTACACCATACACAAATTTAATATCAGATGTATCATAGACCAAAACATAAAAGATAAAAGTATATAATTTTTAGAAGATAGCATGAGATATGTATTCACAACTTTAAGTTAGGCAACATTTATTAGAAAGAACACATGAAACAATAACAATAATGAAGAAAATGACAAATTGTACTTGCTTAAAATTGCAAATTTTTGCGAAGGATCATTCTGTCTACTACATATGGGAAAATCAACATGTGTGGTTAGACATATTAAGTTTGAGATGCCAGTGAACTGATGAAATGGGATTGATGAAGTAGGGAGTTAGAGCTATAGGTAGTTGGATATGTGAGTTTGGAACTAAAGGAGAAGTTAGGGCTAAATTTGGAAGTTGTCAACACAGGGATGATATATAAAGCCATGAGAGTGTACAACATCACTAAAGGAGATAGCTATGTTGATAGTATACATGAGAGGGATACAAGGGTTACTCCTGCAAGAACAAAGTGTTCTTATTAACTGAGGATTCCTTCCCGCATATCCACAAGGCGCTGTACTTTTAGGAGAAGGTGGTTGAACGATTTTTGTGTGAGGCCCCTCATTCCTGGTTCTCAGAATCCTGCAAAAGGGAACAAGAACTCTCAGAACAAAAAGATTCAAAAGGTAAAACCAAAAGCTTCCTTATCATTAACTTTGTTAAATAGATAAAATAAAAGTTCCTATGGACTTAATAGATTAGCCAGTAGAGAAGCTAAAATCTCAGAATGAACTCTCAGAGGATTTTGGTCCAGGAAAATTTAAGAACCATGACAAAGTAACCAAGGCATTCATTTTATTAAAGTCCTAATATTACACCATACACAAATTTAATATCAGATGTATCATAGACCAAAACATAAAAGATAAAAGTATATGATTTTTAGAAGATAGCATGAGATATGTAGTCACAACTTTAAGTTAGGCAAAATTTATTAGAAAGAACACATGAAACAATAACAATAATGAAAAAATGACAAATTGTACTTGTTTAAAATTGAAAATTTCATTGAAAGAAAATTGAGTTGGTAAAAGGATACAAACCTTTAACTAAGTTGAAAACACTGCATTATATAATTGAAATGTGCTAAAAGGGTAGAACTTAAAGGTTCTCACCAAATTTTGTTTAAAGATAAATATATGAAGTGATGGATGTGTTAATTAACTAGATGGTGGGAATTCTTTCACAATTAAAAAACAAAACAATAAAAAAGGAAAAATTTGATAGACAAGTCACAAACTGGGAGATATTTTCAAAACAGACATCTGACAAAGGGCTTATATCTAAAATATACAGCTTGTACGCATATATGCATAGCTAATGGACACAGACAATAGACAGGTGAAGGCCTGGGGTGGGGTGGGAGGAAAGGGAGGAAACTGGGGAACATCTGTAATACTCTCAGCAACAAAATAAATTAAAAATAAATAAGTAATAAAATAATAAAATAAAAATGTAAGTTGAAACCTATAAAATCTTATTAACCAATGTCACCTCAATAAATTTAACTTAAAAATAATAAAATATACAAAGAACTTCAACTCAATAATAACATACAAAACAAAATTTTAAGTGGATAAAAGTCTTAGTCTTCTTCACTGATTCAAATACATTTAATTAATGAAGTTAATAGTTTTTCTTTTTAATAATAAAGGAAAAATTAGGTAAGAGTAGTGGGCAGAATGTCTTACATAGTAAAAGCCCGGCTAAGCACCACCTGGTGGCAGAGATTTTGAATTTCAACCTGAGTTTTTGTGAGGAGTTTTTTTTAAGTAAATAAGAATAAATGTTGAAGGTTGAATTTGCAAAAAGAGACTTGTAAGTAGTAAGAGATTTTAATAAGATGACAGCCAAATTAAAGTTTGCCAAAGTAAAACCAAGCCAAAAGAACAAAATCTATTTAGTTATTTTTGCAATGAAAATCCCAATTAGTAATTATGAGACAGTAAAGATAATATGATGACATAATGCTCTACCAAATATTTATATGGTAGGATTGTAATTGAATATTAATATAATAAACATAAGTTGATTATTTGTGTGCCAGATATTTAACATGTATTAATTACATTTAATCTTCCTAAGAACTGTCTGAAGTATAGACTCACACCACAGAATTTTTCCAGTAAAAAAAAAAAAAGTCTTGGTTTAAATTTTATTATTAAACCTCACAGAACATATTTATCTCTCAAAACGACATTTTATGCCCTTGTTTATATTGGAAAAATTATATTTATATCCCCAAAACTCTGTTTTGTTTTGTTTTTAACAAAAGGAGGCATGGGAAAGTTTTGATTTTCATTCCAAATTAAATTGGTCTAAAAAAATGTCCAAATCATGTGTAAACATTTTGAGAACCACTTGGAATTTCCCAATGAGGGTGTGCCTCTCCGGGGTTGCTGGCTCTGAGAAAGACAACTGGTCCTCACTGAGTCACCACCACGCCTTTAACATTCAGCTCTTGTTTTACTTAGTATTTGACAGTCCCTCGCAAAGCTGAAAAAGTGCTGGGAACACTAGGGAGAAAGAAGCAAGTGATTACAGTACTCACAATGGAAGAGAAGATACTACTGATTATAAAACAACTTTTTGTTAAGAATTATATTGGTTATGATCAGAGTCAGCCTTTGAATTTAAGTAACACTTAAAACAATCTATATCCAAATTTTATTTTTTGTTCACACATACATGTGAATTTTACTTTCTTTCATTAAGTTTTAGGAAGTGGTTGCAAGTCTTATAATACCTTATAATTTTTTTAATTAAAAAAATGGGCGCTCTATTGGTGTTTTCAAGTAGAATCTCTGATTTTCAAAAACATTTTTTTTAAAAAAAAGGATCCAGATTGTACCAATTAGGCTAGTAACATGATTACTGTTAGAGGTAGTGTTGAAATAAACTATTTCAGAACATAAAAATATACTGTTGAACGAAGTATTCATACTTGTCATTTTTTTTTTTTTTTTTTTTTTTTTTACTTTTCCTTCCATCACTATTTATGTCTTCTTTACCCTCTCCTACCATCTTCTCTCCCCTTTCCCTCTGGTAATCACCATACTGTTGTCTGCCTAGGAGTTTTTGCTTTTGTTTTTGGCTCTAGAGTCTGTATTCTAACCACTGTGAGACAAGGTGGCCCTGCTTCTATCACACAGATGGTACATGCCTTGGGTCGTCATTTCTCAAAGTTCTTGGTCAATAGATGACTAGGTGGGAATGTTACTAGATTAATATATCACCTAAAAGGGAGTTTTATGGCTAATTAGATTTGGGAAATGCTGAGTTTAAACAAATAAAACCTGTATTTTTCAAAGCCAGATGTGCACTACATTTCTGTAAGGTTGGTAGTTAAAGAGCTATTTAGCATTTCCCAGACTTCTTTATTTGAAATTGTATAGATTAAGAATGTGATTAGTAATATAGAAGATTTAACATGTGTGTGTGTGTGTGTGTGTGTGTGTGCATATGTAGGTATATATAACAAACTTTATAACGTGCCAGTACTGACTCAAGCAAACGTGTTTATTTGTCCTACATAACAAGAAGTCTGAGGCAGGACAGTCCAGGGCCAGGCTCCTTTCTCTTTCCCGTTCTACTGCACTATCCACAACAAGCTGTCATTCATACTCATAAACACCAGATTTTGCCTCACCTCCAGGCCTTTCAACTGTTTTCCAGGGAGGAAGAGAAAGGAAAAGACAGAGGCAACCCCAACACTCCCACTTACATTTCATTGACCAGCATTGTCACCTGGCCACCCCATATGACCACCCCTAGCTGTAGTCAGCCTTCAAACTGGGTTATGATGGGCTGATAAACCACAAAGGTTGATTATTGCTCCCGTGACATATCATCAGCTGTGGTTCTGCTCAATGCATCATTTTGGGTGAGTGTAGCCCATCGTAGGGCCATGCATTTCCCACAGTTGAGGGAAAATGGAGATGGAAGAACCACATGATGGTCCTTAAAGACTGCTCAAAAGTGACATCTGTCATTTTCCCCCATATTCCATTGGCTAAAGCTAGTCATATACTAAGGCAGGGAAATCTAATCCTCTTCTAAAAAACATTGCATATGGTTGGGCATATTGTATAATCGTTCCTGTATAATAGGAGCGAGCGAGTCAGAATAGACCAGAGATAGAAGTTGAGTCAACAATCACAGTGTCTGCCACAGTACACACACACACACACACACACACACACACACACACCACCTTTTGATTTATTTATGTTCCAGAGCATTTCACAGGCTAAGTATTCACATCCTTTGGGAACTGTGGTCTTGAGCCACATCATGTTCCTTTGATGAAATAACTGCCTATAAAAGCATCCTCGTGTAAAATATTTAGCCTTTAATGTGAGCTATGGTTCCATTCAGCGTTAAAACAGATTCCACTGTAATTGCATAGTTGACAATCTGGGTCACAGAGTGTTATTGGAAAATTTTTGTTGTACATTAAAATCCACTACGTTGTCAAGGTGATATTCATGAACCATGTTTATTTTTAAGCCAGGAGAATTTCAGAAAATAGAGTCATGTCTAGGTATTAAACCTTTTTCCCCCCCTTTTCTTTTGAATCAGGTGCTGTCATACCATGCGACATGTTCAAAAGCTGAAGTTGACAAGTTTAAGGTAAGGAAGCAAATGGTGCCCTATTAGGGCATAAAGTTAAGCTTTACATGACTTTCTGACGCTTTGTCACTTGCTTCTGGAGAAATAGTCCTGCCCACTGGGTATTGGGGGAAGAGAACTGGGCAAAGGTGTGTTTGGATAGTTCAGTTTAGAGGGTAAGAGAGACATGTGTAACTGCGTAGCCTCTTCATGATCATTGAAATGATTTCAGTATTTCTATTTGTTAACTAAGCAGGATATAAAAAAATCTGTGTAATATGGTGAGAAGCAGGTTGCCTGGTTTGGGCATTGATTTTACCTCTAACTTTCTGTTCACTTAAAGCAGCAGTTCTCAACCTGTGGGTCGCGACCCCTTTGGGGTCGAATGACCCTTTCACAGGGGGCGCCTACATACATCCTGCATATCAGATATTTACATTACGATTCATAACAGTAGCAAAATTACAGTAATGAAGTAGCAACGAAAATAATTTTATGGTTGGGGGTCACCACAACATGAGAAACTGTATTAAAGGGTCACGGCATTAGGAAGGTTGAGAACCACTGACTTAAAGTCTGAGGGCCTGTGTCTTCATCTGTAAAAATAAATGAAGAAATTGGGATGGTTATAATAGGTAACATTTACCAAGTGTTTACTATGGGCCAGGCACAATACAAAGCATTTTACCTATATTCATTCATTTGAGCCTCATAATCTTGTGAAGTATGTACTATTTTACAGGTGAGTAAACTGAGTTATGGAGCTATTGAATAGATAGGTCAAGGTCAAACAATTGTAAGAGGTATAGCAGTCTGGTCCCAGAACTGGAGTGCTTAACCATCAGGCTTCACAGCATGACCCCTTTCCACCTCTGATGTCATATGCATCAGTGTATGTGTCTTAGATATTCCTTTTCACCTTAGTCATCACCATTCCCTTAAAGGTAGCCCAGAATTCTTGCTCCTCTTGCTGCACTTCTAATAGTCCATGGCCAAAATGTGGATATATGGAGAAACTGACTTTTCTCCCTTCTGAAAGTTTAGGTATCTGCCTTTTTAAGTTTTTGTGGAAGTTTAGTTATTCATTATCAAGCAAGCTACCACTACAAGAAAGGTAATGTTTTGGATTGTAATGTTTGTATGTAATAATACTTGATGACAACTACTCTTCTAAGAGTCATTTGCACCTAGATGATTTGTCTTTCCAGGAAAAATGTCACAGAGACCTTTGGGCCTGATAATTTAATCAGGTCATTAGAGTTGAGTCACACTAATAAAAAAAGGAAATGAGGGAAGACCCCAAACTCATAGTAGGGATGAAGGAGCTGCTTGGAAGGGCAGGGAACATACCGTAGCCTCAGGTGCACTGCTTGGCTCCATCCAGGGATATAGAAAAGGCCTGCGATGGTGACCCAGATCAGAAGGAGAGACGTGGTGCCAGCAAGAGGTGACAACTGACAACAAAGGAAGGAGACAGAATAACCAAAACCATAGGAGTCAGGGCCCCTTTGTTGTAGAGATAAACATCCTAAATACCGGCTAGAATGTGAGTGACAGCAGGGCAGCACTATTTGTATGTTTTGTGCACTGCTCTGTCTCTCTTGCCGTTCACAGTCCTTGGGACATGGTAGCACTCAATAAATAGCTTGAATGGATGAATGAGTGAATGAATGAATGACCAAATAAATTCAAACGACATCAGTGTTCCATAACTTAAAACAATTATTCATTAAGAGAATGTTAAAACTGTGGCTATATGTAATTATTCTTTATATTTTATGTATATTTTACTAATATTTTTATGAAAAATATTTAAAGCTTTTTTACTTTAATAAACTTCAGTTACCTAGACATTCTATTTATGGAAATAATTTCCATATCTACTTTGCTCTTTTATATTTTTTTTACTGTTTTAATTATCATCATTGCTAAAAGAAGGAAGGGACAGTCAGGGAGAAAGATAGCAAAGCTTACATGGACGAAATATGCCCACAAAAGCTATCGCATGGGACATGGCCAGAGCTATAGCAGGCCAAAATCAATAGCTGTCTACTCTCTAAAGGTATTACCCTGTGTTCAGGCTTAATTCTTTGCTTAAACTAAGGGGAACACTGTTGATTTGGAATTTAGCATGCTTTTCTATTGTTAGCTCACAAACATACTAAAAATATGAAGTATTTATACTTGACAACAAAGGGTTATTTCACTGTAAAATTATCAAGATTATTAACTTAACTGATTTATTCTAAATTTTATCCTGAAAGATATTAATGAGTATCTTATTACAATGTAATTGAGATATAGTAGATAATTTTAATCTAATGGCTTTTTTATATATAAAGCAAATAAGATATTATCATAATTGGTAGCTGATATCTTAACTACAGCAATGGCATTAAAATGTAATGAGCTTAAAATAATCCTACACATGGACACTAAAAAATATTTACGTAAATTTCATTCTAGAGTATGTCCAATGCAGTTTCCTCACATTGTGTCTAAATAACAGTAAATACATACTTCGTTTTGCCCAATATGTACAGACAAACCATGCTTACATTCTAAAATATTTTAACCTTTGATACCTGCAATACTTTTTTAACAGAGATAATAAATAAATATATATGAGAGAGACAGAGACAGAAAGAGACAGAGAAGAAGAGAGAGAGAGAGAGCAAGAGATGAAATCTGGAATCAGAGTTAACCACGAGATCTCATCAGTTAAAGGATGGTTGAGTCTCAATGTATTGTATTATGCCAGCTCAGGCCGAGCTAATGATCAGTGATTCAGAGATTAAGCCAGAGTTTGGGAAGAAAATGATTTTACTGTATTATCTAGTGCTAAGAAGATCCTAAAGGTCAAATACATGCATATATAGGTCAGACTCCAGTTGTAGCCGAAGCTGTTCACATTTGGGATGCAGACATGTCTAAAAACCAGTGATATGTAGCCTGTCTTACATGAGTGGCCTTCTGAGTCAAGAACTCTTCCTAGTGGAAGTGGAGGCCATAGGCCTCAGTGTCTGGATAATTCCAAATTCAGTGTGGGGTTTGTCTCTTGGATGCGTCTCTTACCCCATGGATTCACATTCTCAGCTAAGAACATGAGTGGACACAAAAGACATGGGATTTCTATAGCTTCAGTGCATTAAGGGCCCCTGAGAGCAAGCACAAGGGCTCAGAGTGTCAACAGCAAACAACAGAAAGCAGCAGTTCAGCTGTGCTAACTGTGGAATTAAGAAGGTGGGAGGAAGCCGTCCAGGTTCATCCTTCCTCCGGGGGATATTAGACATTCATAGTGAACTTTCGGAGACAGGGCCCCTGTTCTGTTTTCAAATGGAAAGAGTATGAAACAGTGGCTATCTCAGTTGGTCTGAGAGGTGGTCAGGGTCACCACAGGATGTATTTTGGCCAGGTGGGTCCTTGAAGAGCTCTCCTCGCATAGTTGCTTGGCTCAGTAGGGAAGGCCAGCCTGGAAGTGCAGCCCTGGTTGACCTCACCGCCCCTCTTCCCACATTTCCAATACTCAGGAGTGACAAAGTACAACCATCCTTTTTCTGATGTGGCACTTGATTAAGACACAATTCATAAAGAGGACCACGTAGGAACACAGGGACATTGGTCCACAAAGCACTCCACATATTTACAGACACGGTGCAGGCTGCCGGGCTCAGTCCTGTGCTGTAGAGCAGCAGATGCCCTTTCAGATGCGGACTCAGCTGTTTCCCGGCAGTCAATTTCCTGCTGAAGGTTCAATGACTTTCCATGATGATAAAAAAAAATCTCGGATATTAAACTCGGCATAAATACTATTTGAGGTCAAAACAACCCCCTCAATTCAAGAGGCAGGCATGAGAGGAGGAAGAATAGGTTAGGTGTAATAAGATACCCAAATTCTTTTTATACGGCTTTGAGGTAGCATTAATGTACAGTTTTTATACTGATGAGACTGACTCTTGTCTTAACTGACCCAATCACCTATCTTCCTCACAAGTATTATCCTATTATATTAGCTCTCAAATAGAATATAGCCCTGGTGGGCTTTGAAAATCACTTATAATATGTAATTAAATCAAGCTAAGCCAACTTTTCCACCAAACATCCCAATTTTAAAATAGAACCTACATGTAAAGCTTTGGATATTCAAAAATTTTAAGGACCCTATGGTGCTTTCTTAATTTTATGTTGCTTTGTGTTTTATTTGCTCTTTCCTTCTCAGAGATAAATTTTATAAGATGATAAAATTATAGCATTGTATAGCTGGAAATGGTTTTGTTTTGCAGATAAGGCTTAGACATTTTAAATAAACCAAGAGGCCTGGTAGCTACTTTGTCTATTTACATGTGTGCTCTCTCCTGTCTGTCTGTGTCTGTGGCCTTACAAAGATGGCCTAAAGGGGCAGCTCTGGCCACTGGGACTGCAGAAAACCCTTAGATATCTCATATGGTGCCTTGGGACCAACAGAATCATGACTCATACACTAATGCCACCTATAAATGTTTAAATAATGAAATGTCTTAAATAATACGACTTAGGAATGTATTAAAGCCTTTCATACCCATTGTTTAATGTGAGCCTCACAACCTCTTGGTGAGAGCTGGGTTATTACAGCTCTGTTTTACTTATGAGGCAACCAAGGACCAAAGAACTAGCAAGAAAAACACATCTATTTCGCTGATTATTCCTCCACAATGTTTTGTTTTGTTTCGACCTTGAAGACAATGCTTCTCTTCAAGTGGCTGGATAGGAAAATGTAAGCAACATCATAGAATTGTATCCTGAAGTCATTTCTTTTGATTTAGCCATTATTCCTGGAACCTTTGTGGCATTTAGACAATTTAGGGGCCAAATAAGTATGAATGGTGATGATGTCTGAGAAAAACTGGATTTTTTCGCTGAACTTAACAGACATTTTAAAAAGAGACTCTTCATGGTGTTCTTTGGGCAATCAATATATAATGCTACTTTATTAGAAACTCCTTTTAGTATTGTGGTTGTGCCATCCGTGTGACTTCTTGCCC